AATCACTGTAAGAAATGCTGACATCCCATGGTCCACCCAGCTTAAATGAGATCAAGAGTAGGTTTGAGATTTACCTCTATGGCGAGGAAAAACTTGGGAGGGTGGTGGTCTGCAAAAGGCACCCAGGGATTTAAGGTAGATTAAGTCCATGCTGCTCTGATCTTTAGATTAAGGTGCTATATTTGCAACAGGTAACTTCTGCTATTGAGAAACACACCCCTAATCCCTCCTGGTGCTTGGGAGGAGACTGTAGCCTGCACACATTGCTTTATTGCTATTGCCTGATGTAGCTCCACAAGGCAGCCAGCTACCTCTAGCATCAAGATCAAAAGTATAAATGGTAGATTTGTCCTATTTGGCCCTTATTCTGGATTTGTGTTGGATTTAATGGAAAAACTGGATGGCAGCAGATTGGGATTGTTGGTCCTTCTCTGGTCTAGTCACTCTGTGTTTATGAAGTAGTTTCCATCCAGATGCATGGCTTCATGTCAGCATGCACCACTACCCTTTCTTCTGGTTAAACTAGAAGCAGGTTTCAGCTCCTTCTCATTATCACTAATCACCCACCTAATGCCTCTGTAAATTTTATAGTCCCTTAGGATTTGGGTCATTTGTAGTTAAAACAGTCTTCAGAACATCAAGATATTCGACAAGCACATGTGAATAGGCAACAACTTGTGATAAGGTGGGGAAAAGCATTGTTCTAGCCATGGAAATGTCACACACAAGGCCTGTTTTATTGACTTCCAAACAGAGGAAGGGTAATTGCGTTCTTCTGTATGGTTTGTCCAGCTCCAGAGCAGCCTGGACTAATCAGTTCTGCCACTGTCACACAAGAAGAAGTTGGACAGATACAATGGAAGGGCTATGCATGCATCATTAGTTATGTCACCATGTCCCAGGAGTTCCTTTCTTTTTTAGCTGGCAGCTGGGAGCAGGTGAAGGCTCAGGGTGCATGCAAGCATGATAAGGCAGCCAAAGAGGAGGAAGATGAAAACACAGAGGAAGATGACAAGGGAAATGGATATCCTAGGTTCATCTGAACCTTATGAAGTTAGAGTAGCAAGAGAAGAGATGAACCTGCTGCTGGAAGAACAGCGCAAGACTGGCCCTGAAGGTGTGGAGGTAAAGGTGCCCTTATGGTGGCAAGTCTGATCTCTGCCCAGTGGGTGTTGAGGGCAGCAGCATTAACTCAGAGAAGCTGTTGTGGTTTTGGGCTAGCACCACAAAAGCAGTGTGGCACCTGCATTGCAGCTGGACTCCTAAATGCCTTGGGCTGCTGAAGGAAGCAGCATGGGAACATCGATGTTTGCATCCTGCCTCTGTCCCTGTGTGTTTCAGGATGAGGAAAAAACACCCACTGGGCTTGTGCACCTGTAAGGGAACTAATTCTTCCCATTTCCCCTTTCAGGAATGTTTTGAGGGTTTGTTGCTCACTGGTTGTTTTGGTAACTAATGTTAATGTTTGTGAGTTCCTCTAGGCTAGGACTGTGCATCTGGATGTATCTGCCATGACTGAAACGTGGTGGCTGCTACTAGAATAAGCAATATACTTTCTGTAGATGTTATGTTATTCTGTGTGAAAGACACAGCAGAGAACTGCCCAGATGCCTTTGTTACCCCAAGAAGCTGTCTTGACAAACCCCTTTTTCAGACAGAGCTGGAGCAGCACATGGCAAATACCAAGGAAAAAGCTTCCCAGAGGGAGGAGTTCTTCCCCAGACAAATCAGCAGTGAGGATCAGCAGGAAGTGCTAAGGCTCCTCGCCAGAGCCCATGAGCCTGGCAACACAGGCAAATACACTGTACAAGGAGAATCTATTGTGCCAGGAGGATTTTGGGATCCAGCAACTGCAGCAGCATATGCTGCTCTGTGAAGAAATTACTCAGCAGCAGCAGATGCTGATGGGAGGTACAGCAGCCCTTTTGCTCCTGCTCTGTCATCATCTCCAAGCTTTGTTCTCTGATGGCAAACTGGAGAACAACCCACACAGAAACCTTGTCTTGGATGCCATGACTCCACAGTTCTCAGCTGCTTCTCTAGGAGTGGTCTTTAACCCTTCCTCCCCAACTCTGTTCCAGCCCAGAATATTCCTGTGCCAGAGGCACTGGAGAGGTTTACACCACCAGCACCTCTCTGAGGTGGAGGAGAGGACACTGAACCACCTGCTTCTGTATTCAGTGATGTCCTGCATGTTCAGGGTAAGGCAGAGCAGGCCTTTGTGCTGGAGAACCCACACTGTCTCTTGATCTTGTCATGGCTGTAGATTCACACATGCCCAAAGCCTGTCTGGGTCCTGGTGTCAATCAGGAGCTGTACAGAACTTTGTTTTGTGAACATCTTGTCTCTAGTGCTCTGCTCTCCTCCCCTTTGATTTGAGAGAGACAACTTGCTTGCTGGTGAACAGAAAAGCAAAGGTTAGATGGCCAAACATGCAACTCTCCAAGTGACTGCTGAAGGAGACTTGTCATATGGAGCCATCCGCTTGCTGATGGCACAGCTGTTACTGAGGTCTTCAGGTCTTCCCTCCACTAAAGGAAAGATCTGCTGGCTCCTTGGTCTTTGGAAAACTTTTGTGTGTTTTGAGACAGTGGCTGCCAGGAAATTGCCAGTCCTCAGCAGGGATTACAAGCTGCAGCATCTCCTGTTTATTATGATTGCCTAGAATGATCGGGGCAAGGAGTTGGGGTTCACCTTGAATAATAAACTTAATGCTTGCCCTGTTGTTATATGAGAGATTAAACTACTCTGGGTGCCCTTCCACAGGAGCAGAGCAAACAGCAGGTGGCTGAACTGTGGAAAAGCACAAGAGGTATCAAGAGAGTTTTTGTGACCACAGGCTGAGAGCCTGGGCTAGAGGAGGGGCTGTACAGTGAGAAAAATCTGCTGAGGATCTCATTCTTCACTCTTCCTGCGGTCCCACAACAGCCCTACTCTTGATGTAAGGCAGCATCTGGATACTAATAAAGATGAGATCAGAAAGGGTCTATCTGGTACCACAAAGGATATTCCCTGAGGGGATATCAAACTTCCATAGGGTAGATCCTTTGTGGTTTTTTCTAAAGGGAATGGGTTGAGCAGAAGACATTGACCCAGTGGAGCTGGGGTAGATTTTGAATACAGTGAGAAACATAGTACAAACTGCAGGAGGAAATAAGCTAAATATCTTTATTCTCTATAATGACCTTTACCTCCTGCCTAAACAGCGAGGAAAGAAATCTTTTTCGTACAACGTGGCAACAGACAGAGGTGAGAGACATCACTGATGTTAACTCAGCTCCATGTCTTTCAGATCTCAAAAGCTAAGCATTGGACTTCCTCAAGCCCCAGTGCAGACAAAGGTTTTGAGAACCACTCATGCCAAGCTAAACTCTTCCATTAGCCAAAAGCTGTGAGTAGTATATTCATTGCCACAGAGGGCAAGATTCCAATCAGCCACCATTCAGGTAGGGGTTAAAGACCTTAGTGACATCCTGTACCAGCTCTGTTGGAAAACATGGATTCTCATGTAAGTCAAGTAAAGGTGAATGCTTAGAACTGTTAGTAATCTGATCTTAATTTGTTTTAATATGGACTGAGTAGCTTTTGATGGGTAAGAAAGCATATCCTTTGTAGAGCGCTGCCTCAACTATGCCTCTGTAATGAAGGGAGAGTTAGTGTTCAGCTGGGTTCGTATAAAACAAGTTGCTGCTCTCAGTCATCATTCAGCCAGTTTCACATCTAAACCAGGCCTCAGCAAGGAGACCAAGATGTGACAGGCTGCACTGACCATCTCTCACCTTCAGCTGTTCTGCTTTGTGCAGACACACAAGGCCAGGATGAGTTTAGGGGAAGTGGATACCCAAATCCTATTGAGATGTAGCCAGAATCCTTACCCATTTTGGCAAGGGGTGCTTACTCTAGTTTTTATTACCTTTTTACATGTGTGTATATATATATATATATATACACACATATATAAAATGTCTGGAATTTTACTTACAATGCTATAATTTATGCATGCATAAGTGTTTTTAAACTGTGCTCTGCTCTCACTACTCATAATGAACTCTCCCTGCCTTTTATAGAGGGGACTCCACCAGAGATGCTGCCAAAAGGCAATGCTCTTACAAGTACCATCCACCAGAGCAATGCAGATCATGTCAAAGGATGGGTCCTATAGAACCAAGTCAGGGGTGAGTATATGAAATACCAGGTTGGCTGGCTCTATAGTAGAATATATTAGGAGGACTACTATATTCTTCAGCACTCGTTCTGTTGCAATCTGAACCTAAAGAGCTGTTAAATGCAACACAAACAGTCCAGTTTGGAAAGCAGACACATGGGTGGGGGTTTATAGCCGAGTTTTAAGCCTTTCTTGTTGTTGTTATTGCTGTTTTTTGAAACAGATGATATGGGCAATGTTCCAGAATGAGTTACACTCCATCTCCCTCTTAGCCAAAAATAACCTCTTGGGAAGAGAAAATAACATTTTCAGAGGTGTACATAACCCTGGTATAATCCATATGTGAAGCACATCATTTAATCTGAATGAGCCATGTGACAACATACTGCTTCCCCTGAACGTGTTGCCATGGGATTTTCTTCAGGCACTGATGTGCAGATCCAAGGGCCCTTGGCAAACTCACCCCTCCACATCCCATGGCGATCTGTCTCGTCCCCACTTTGACTGGCAGTGAGACTGGAATTGAAGAGTGAGAAACTCACCCAAGTGCTTCATCTTCCCTCACTTGCAGGGCCTGCAGATGGTGCCAGCAGTTGGCAAAAGCAGCAGCCAGTCTCCTGCTTGAGGAGCCAGAGGAAAATTAAATAGGAGTCACCAGGGGAGCAGGATTCTCTGTGGTCCCATGGATTGCCATTCCAAGACTGCTGGAAGTTAGGGAAGCAGACGCAGGGGAGTGTGCCTTAAAATGTATTTGTTTTTGTGTTGTAGCACTGAAAAGCAGAGGGATGGTTCAAAGGGGGGAGAGGGACCTATATGTTGTAGACTACTTTTCCCATATCCCCACTGCAAGACTCCTCTGTATTGTGTGCTTTAGCTGTTAGCTTCACTTGAAGACAAGTAGGGTGTTAACAGAGTCCAAGAGGAAGCCCTCATTTTCCCAGCAGTGTTTGCCTCCCAGAAGATGTCAACATGGAGCCCAAGCCACCTTTTTTCCCAGGGCAAAAGTGTGGATGCCACCCATGAATCCAAAAGGCTCCCTGACTATTAAAACCAAATGTAAATGCCTGAGAAATAGTTCTCCCCGTTCTTCCCTGCTGTCCTTGTGTGTTGCTGTGAAGCTGGGAGGTGTAACACGCCTGGAATGCTGTTTGGGTGAGCAGATGTTTGGCTGTGAGAGCAGCCAGAGATTGCTCTAAGCTCTTTTCTATCGACAGAGCATTTCAGATGTGACTGCAGCCAGGAGAAGCAGCATGGCGATAGGTGAAGACCCCAATAAGAGCTAGCTTGGAGGTAAACCACAGGAACGTGTTTTTCTCCTTGGAACAAACATCTCCAACCAGCAGCCTCCTCCATAAGGGGCTTTTTAACACTATTTCCCCTGCTTTTCAAATATGCCATTGAATGAAGCCCTTCTGGCTGCTGGACTGAATAAACAGTGACCCCATGCCCCAAACAGGAGTGGCTTCCCTCCTAGGTCTGCTGAAGATGACGATTTCAGGTAGGTTTGTGTGTTATCTCAAACAGATGGAGAACCTTTATTATAGCTGCAGCACTTGCAATGGAGTCTCCTTTATACTCTTTCTGACTTGCTGTGTGACATTGCGCACACTCCCCATTCCTCTCTACCTCTTGCTTTGCTGGTGGGAAGATGAGGGATAGTTCTCTCCAGGGATGAGGACTCTTAGATTACTTGTAATTATAAATGCCATAAAGTCCTGAAGTGGGGGTGCAACACAAGTGTAGCAAGCAGCAGATTTTCCTTAGGAAACAGCAGCAGGAAGAGGAGTGATGGGAAGTAGAAGATCAGGAACACTTGTCCCTCGGGGCTGACTCTTTCAGATAAACAAAGACACAAAAACTCAACGCACAGATAAAATAAGCATAGACTGTGTGTAAAACAAACCTGTGCCAGCAGGGCTTGAGCCAAGCCTGTATTTAAGGACCCCACATGACCTGCAAACAGCGAAGGACCAGAAATGAGGGAAAACGGGAGCTTTCCAAGTGTATACATCTCCGCTACATACCTTTGGGCTGAATCACCATCCAAACTGTGCAGAGTTGTTTCATACAAACAGTGGGACATCTGAGCCAAACGCATTGGTTTGAGGCTGTATCTCTGAAGGGGAGTTTGGTCATTTGCCATGACTGTTGTGAAGAGCACAGTGCCAGGGGCTGTGCTAATCTCCCTGTTTGCAAAACATATATTTTAGGTCTGTTAACATTGGGGATTGAGACGTCAGAGGTAGAAGCTGTACATAACCATTTGTAGCTCTGATAACTGCTGCAGGTGGGCTGCAGCCCATCTACTGCACCAAGCGGGACCACACTCATCCGCAGTGCTGGGCTAATGGCTTTTTGCTTTGATTCTTATCAATCACAGCTGATAAAAAGGGATCTTAAAGTGGGTTTTTCCAGCTTCATTTTCTAGCCTTGCTGTATACAGTTATCTGCACTTTGGTTTTAATATTCTGCTGTGCTAGAACCCAAAGGCTGGGGTTTCTTCCACAAGACTGCTTGGCCCTGGCTCCACCTAACCATCAGCTCCAGCAAGCAGCGATGTCAGGTCTTGGGATGCTGCATCCACCTCAGGACAAGGACTGTCGCCACACCATCCATTACCGGCTCTCCCTCTTCCCGTCTCTGGGACAGTGCAGGCAGTGGAGCAGGATTCCATCTATGCAGCCCCTGAGCCCTTCAGTGTGCAAGGAAATTAAATCCTTATGCAGTCTTACGCTGTGGCAGGAGGTTGGACCAGATCACCTCTGAAGGTCCCTATGCTGTGGTTCACCTCGTGCTGCCCCTGGTTCTCCACAGCGGTCCCGGCCTTGCTGCGGGAACGCGCTGGGGGCTGAACCGGAGCAGCCCCTCGGCTCCCGGCCGGGCCTACGGGCCCTCCTCACAGCCCCGAGGCGCCGGGGCCTCCAGTGGCGGCGAGCAGCGGGGAGGCGCCGGGTCAGGGCGGGCCGGGGCCTCCCGCCGCCGGGCGGAGCAGCGCCTGCGCCGCGGCCCCGCGGGGACCCCCGTGCCCGGCGTCTCGCGAGAGGCGGCGCCCGGGTAGCGGCGGGACGGGGCCGGGCAGCGGGAGGAGGAGGAGGAGGAGAGGAGAGCTGAGGAAGGCTGCGCTGCCCGGGCGGGAGGTGGGTACGGGGCGGGCACGGCCTGGACTAGGGCCTGAGGGGAGGGGTTGGGCGGCGGCGGCGGGGCGCGGGTGAGGCGGTCCCGGCCGGGGGTGCCGCCCCGGGGCCGCTCCGGTTATGAGCTGCAGCCGCGTCCGTCCGCGCTTCCCTCCGGCGTGCCAGGTAAAGGGAGAGCCGCGGCGTGACCGGGGCGTCGTGTGCCGGGCAGGGCAGGGCAGCGCTGCCCGTCCTCGTACCTCGGTGGTGGCGGGAGGTGGTTGGGTCTGTGGGCAGCTCCTCGTCTCCGAGCCACCCATCGCCGGCTTTGCCTGCTCTGCCGCCGGTGCTGGGCCCGAGGCTGGGGGCAGCCGCTTGTGCAGCTTCCCTGTGTTGATCTGCAGCCTGTGTTGCTTCTGGACTCGGGAGCGTCTGCGGTCCCAGCGCCCACAAAAGCGAACCCAGGAAGCAGCCTCCTCGGTAGAGCTTTCCTGTTGACGGTAGAGCGTGGTTTTTAGCCTTGCTTTACAGAGATAACCGTTAACGTGATTAATCCTGCTTGAACTTCGTGCAGAAAACTTCGCACTGCAGAAAATGATGCTTAAATCAAGTGTTCGTAAGGCAAATGCAGGCGGTGCGAGTGGCAGGGTCTGATTTCTGGCTCACGTTGTCATATAGCGAATGTGCTGGGGTCTTGTTGACTCAGGCTCTCAGCGCTAAGGCTTGCCGAGACCCTCATGTTGGTAAGGTCAGGAGCAATGGGCGTGCATGAAGCTTGTGACAAAGGCAATGAACAAACAGGACATGCTGCGTTTGGGGGGTTTCCTTTGGGAGGTCTTAGAAATACGATTATTAAGGGAGCTTCCAAGTATGGGTGTTAAAGGCGAGGCGTCCGGTGGTGCCAAGCCTGTACAAACCGGGCTTTGTGGCAGCGATAGGGGCGAAGGTGCTGGGATAGCTATGTAGATTAGGATATTCTTTGCTGGTCTCTAGCATACATGTGCTAAGTTGGGGTAGAACATGCAATGCAAGCCCTATTTTTTGCTTACACAGTGTATTTGTATTGATGTAACTGCTGATGTTATTACACGGGTTAAAACGTTCCTGCTGTGCAAAGAGCGTTAGGTTTTTGGAATGCTGGGAGAGCAGCAATATGGAGTGATGGCAAGTGCATGAAATTCATTTCTGGTTATTGGCACTTCTGTTTTGGCTGGTGGGAGCTTGTTATCCTGCACCTGGACCAGGTTAAATTGCCTCCACTTCTCTAGAGCCTCCTTATTCCCTAAGTGTAACTGGTGGCAGGTGTGTAGCATAATATATGGGTAAAGAAGGCTGCATGGATTGAGTGGTTGCTAATGAATGTAGGTACTTCAAGGGAGCCTGCATTCCCAAGGGAAATTATTTGACTGGAGTTTTTGTATGTCTTTAAAAGTACTCATTCCACCTCTTTCTGTCTTGAGAAGCAGGCAAAGTCCAAGCAAGCTACCTGAAGTCCCTTATCACAGCAGAATGAGTGGGCGCTGGAAGAAGTGAGATGGTGCTAAGTGCCCGACCTGTGCCTTGTGCTTCCCTGTGGGCAGTTAGGAGCAGTGGGAAAGGGACAAGCTTGGGGAGACACAAAGCAAGAAGAGATGGAACCTGCGTGCAAGCCTTTGAAGGCACAGTCCCTTCAAAACCATTGCAGTTCATAAGGAGAGATCACTGTCCCCTGTCTCTGGTACATACCTGCATGTAAGCTCCTTTATCTTCTATAGGCCTTACTGTCTTGTAAGTAGCCTGGAGTTGCTCTCTTCTGCAGAGAGAGGCTATGGGAGAATGTAGTCATTGCAAAAAGGCAAGAGAGGAAGAAGGAGACAGTAATTACTTAAGTTGCTGTTTGCCCTGAGAACAAACAGTTGCAATTGGTCTGTGAAGTGCAAATAGGGTTTCCAAATCCCTGAGGAGCTGCATCTGCAATAGCTTTTGCAATAAGAACGCTGGGGACACATCCCACTTCCTCCCCTTTCTGGTTTTAAATGGGAGATGGTTATTTGACATGGCAGCTTGTGATAGGAGAGGATGGGCCCGGTGACCTCAGACCTCAGTGTCTTTCTCCTACCCAGGATGGGGAGATGAGTCCTTGTTTCACACCCAAGAGAGGTTCAGGTTGGAGATGATCATGGGATGGTTGCTGGGGGACTCTGTAGGATTATTATAGCACTTGGTCCATTTCCCGGTTTGCCAGCGTCGTGTCACAGAAGCAGCTTTGTGTGGATCCTGGTGCACGTTCTTGTTGGCTGGTGACTTTGGGTTAAACTTGAATGTAAATTCTTGGCTCCTTCTGGAGGCTTTTCCTTTTGATTCTGGCAAGAGGAGGATGGAGGCGCGTTCCTTCTGATGTGCACAGAGACCTATAATTTGTGCTTTCAGTCTGGCGTCTTTTATGAAGTGCTCAGGAAGAGGATGTATCGTAGTCAATAGAGTGACTCTGTGTTCTGCAGCATTTTTCTCATGAGGAGCAATTAAGCTGTGTTACTGCTCTTTTCCAGGGCTCTGGCACTGACAGAGTTAATAGAAGTGGAGTCATTTCGATTCTATGCTGCTGCTGTGTGTCTTGGAAAAGCCAAACGCTCTGGCAGTCCTGCATGCTCTGTCCTGGAAAGCAGGCTCGAGCCCTTGGGGTGTGCTCGGTAGAGCAACGTTATGGTGGTGGCTTTGACAAAGAGCCCCCCTTCTGTTTGCCCGAGGAATGCATATGCCACACACAGTGTCTCATTTGCTCTGTCACTGCTGCTGAGCGGGTGATCTGTCCATGCTGGGGTGGGACAACTTTGCAGAAATGCTGCACTGTCCAAAGCTGCTGGGTATAGGGATGGCAGAAAAGGATGCTCCATGCAGCTTTCCGGGCTTGCTGCATTCCAGCCAGCCGAGTGGTCTCAAGCGGCGTTGGAAGCACAGTGTGCTAGGGATTGTGTGCGCAGTGGGCACCCTATTCATCCAGAATAGGAAGCAGTCCCTGCCCTGAACAGCTAACCAGCTCAAAAGCAAGAACAGATTCAGGCAAAACGCAAACCCAGAAGTGTGCCAAAGCAGTAGGCTTGGCAGTGTCACTCCATTATCTTCTGCTGTTGGACCGAGATCTTTGGCCAGAAGTGCTGACGCACATATGTAATTTGCCTCTTCTTTAACTCTGTGCTCTTATCTTCGGGTGCTGCTTCTTACATCTGCTCCATCCACAGTCTTGACTAGCTAAACATAGGTAATTACTGCTGAACAATACCTGCTTCTTGCTCCACAAAGTGCAAAGTGTTATGTCTGCAGGTCTTCCAGCTCCTATTCACATGTAGAATAAGAGCCTGGCTCCAGGAGATGCATTGTTTGGTGTCGCAGTGCAAGGATGTGTTAGGCTACAGCTCCACTGAATTTGTGGCTCTCCCTATTTCTAAAGTGTAAATAAAGACGCCAGGATGGAAAAAACCCTAAACCTTCAGTTTCATGTTTTGTCTTGTGTTATAAGCTGAGGTAATACTTTGATATGTGACTGTATATCTGGTATTATTCCTGTTTGTTACTAAATTCTTGTCTCATGCTTTTGGTCTAGTATTTGAGACCAGGACTTTGTTAAAATTTGGCATCCCTGAGGGATAAGCACAGCCATGCAGATGCTCTTTAGACAAGTCATTAAATGCAAGGCTGCTGTGAGCTTCAGAAGTGCTGAGTATATTCCCCTTGGGAATGACAGAGCTCAGCACTTTCCCATATTTGGACTCTGGTTCTTTCACCCCTTGCCTAGGATGGGGTTGGTGCCCTGTTAGAAGGGTTGTGTGTGAACCTTGATTGGGGAACAACCTTTGTGTTTCAGGAGGAAGAGACACCCAGTCTTCATTCTCAAAAGCTTTTCAGGGCAGCATGTCCTGAAGTGGCTTTGTTTTCAGAGATGGTTTTTGCAGGGCTTGTTCTGAAGTCATTGGAAAGAATGGGGATGTTTGCTGAAAGGGCAGCTCTTTTCTATCTGTAGATACTGTCCTACCTATATAATCAGAGACAGGACTGTGTTTGGAGAAGAGGAGATAGGAGTGACTACTTTCTGCTTGTCTTTTGATGATAAACTTTGCACAGAGAGGCTGTAGAACAGCAAACTTCTCAAAATACCAGATAGCTGCTCCTCGCTTTAATACATTGTTCTCCTCTTTAATTTGTAGTTGTTCTTCTAAAGGCTGCAAGGCTGTAGGCACTGGCTCCTTGATCACTTGGGGAGAGAGCATGGCTGGTTTGCCAGCCGGGCTCTGAAAAGCCTTGGACCAGAAAACATGCAGCAGGGTTGGGAGATGGATCTCCCTTGAGGAGCTTGCTGGTGGAAAGGGGCTGGGAGTCAGCAGGGAAACAGGTAGTGATAAAAAGGTGGGACTTGTTGAAGTAAAAACACCCCAAACCTGCTTCACCCTCTGGAAGAGATCTTCTGAGCTGCCCTTCTAACAGCTATTTCTCGCCTGTCTTTGGTGGTGAAGAGTTGTTAGGGATGAGTGTGATAGAAATAGGAATTGCACTAAACCAGGAAGAGGTCCTCACTTACAAAATCCAGGCATGGAGAAAGATTTACCAGAGCATCCTTAATCTGGAGAATCATTCAGTTAAAACTAATAATTCTTTTAGATTTTTTTATTCATACATGGCTCTTATAGGGACTGTGTCCCTTTGGGTTTTCTTTGGTAGGAAAACTCTATAATCTCTGTTTTTGACAAAATAAGTAACTCCTGAGGAAGGTTGTGGAGGTGATGTGCTGGGTGCCTTCACACAGATAAGATGGTGAGTTCAGATCAGTGATGTTCTCTCAACAGGGGCTTGCTTTAGCCATTAAAACATCTTCACCTATGTATTTATAACTCCAATGAGGTCTTTGTTTTCATTACAGCAGTACAGAGCATCTTCATGGGGAGATGAGACCACAGTGTGATACCACAAGCTAAAATTGTGGGTGGAGCCCTCTCCCTGGTCTGTACTAGATGCGTTTAAAAGAGACCCCAGGGAGGTCTGAAAGGTAGCCGGCTCTGCCTGTCTGTATATAGTTGTATCTCTTAATACTCTCCAACTTCCCTCTGTAAACTCTAGGCCTGATATCTTTATGTTTTGTTTACTTTTTAAAACGAAAACAGAGTTTGTCTTGAAATCACATGGCTCCAGAAGCTTGAGGTTGATAAAGCCCCCATCACTGCTGTGGAAACTGATGAAACTGCAGCCCATCATGCCTCCTTTGGGCCAGTTCCCTCTTCTCCATAGGGAGGGTCTCTCTGTGGGTACCTCAGACTCACACAGTTCTCCCCTGCAGAAATGGATGGTGAGCTCAGTGACAAGTCTCACTTGTGCAAGGTCATTATCTCCAAACCAGAGTAATTAAGGGTTCAACTAACTTTTCTCTCTGGTACCTTTTTAGGGGCTTGATCTGCAGCACCATGCTGGATCCCAAGCCTCACTCTGCAAGCTGGAGGTGAATCCAGGTGAAAGCCAGCAATTACACCAAGTGTCAGGATGACCAAAGCACGGCTCCTCCGTCTCTCTGTGGTGCTGGTCTCCATCTTCATGATCCTCCTGATCATTGTGTACTGGGACAACGTGGGAACAGCTCACTTCTACCTGCATACATCCTTCTCCAGGCCTCATTCCCCTGGTATCACGGCAGGCGAAGACTGGGAAGCCTTGCCAGATGTGGATGAATTTTTGGCAAAGCTGCTTAGTTCGAGCCTGAAACAGAATAGCTCTACCCCAAGAAAGACAGAGCAGCTACTTGTCCAGGGCTCCAGCAAGCCTGTGGCAAGTAATTTGGAGGAGAACGTGCGGGGCTATGACTGGTCTACACACAATGATAGGAACAGCTTGGACCAAGAACAAGTGCAGATAGAGAGGCAGAGAACGTTGAAGGAGTTTTGTGCCAATTCCAGCTTCACCTTCCCCACCAAGGAGCGCTCCTTTGATGACATCCCAAACTATGAGCTCAACCACCTGATCGTGGATGACCGCCATGGCATTATCTACTGTTATGTCCCCAAGGTGGCCTGCACCAACTGGAAGCGGGTGATGATTGTGCTAAGTGAGAGCCTGCTAGACCAGGGTATCCCATACCGGAACCCTTTGGATATCCCCCGGGAACATGTCCACAACACCAGCACCCACTTGACGTTCAACAAATTCTGGCGGCGCTATGGGAAGTTCTCCCGGCACCTCATGAAGATCAAGCTAAAGAAGTACACCAAGTTCCTCTTTGTACGGGACCCTTTCGTCCGCCTCATCTCTGCCTTTCGCAGCAAATTTGAGCTGGAGAATGAGGAATTCTACCGGCGTTTTGCCATCCCCATGCTCAAGCTGTACTCCAACCATACTAACCTTCCCGCCTCCGTTAGCGAGGCCTTTGGGGCAGGCCTCAAAGTCTCCTTTTCTGACTTCATCCAGTACTTACTGGATCCCAGGACAGAGAAGATGGCCCCTTTCAATGAGCATTGGAGGCAGGTTTACCGTCTGTGCCATCCGTGCCAGATAGACTATGATTTCATCGGCAAGCTGGAGACGCTGGATGAGGATGCTGCTTATCTATTGCAGCTCCTCAAGGTGGACAGGCTGCTTCGCTTCCCCCCCAGCTACCGGAACAGGACTGCCAGCAGCTGGGAAGATAACTGGTTTGCCAAAATCCCCCTGGCTTGGAGGCAGCAGCTCTACAAGCTTTATGAAGCAGATTTTGTACTCTTTGGCTACCCCAAACCAGAAAACTTGCTTAAAGACTGAAAGTGATTGGATGGGGGCGGGTATGGGAGGGAACATCTGAAATACCAAAAATGTTTAAAGCCTCCTCATTTTTGCTCTTAACTCCCTTCCCCATACAGGTTGGTACAATGGAATCTATTTTTTCTACTGCTTCCCCTTCCATTTTTGCAATAATGCCAGAGTCCAGGGTATTCCAGCCAGCTGTGCACATGCAAAAAAACAAACAAATGCCATTTTGGTTTGGGTTCGAATTTGGTTTGTGATTTTTAAATGCCCCCATGTTTTGCAATGGGTTGCTGCCCTCGGTCACTCTGCCAGCTGTGTCCTTCGAGTAGCTTTTTATTAATACTTTTTAAAAATTAATATATTTAAGATATTTAATACAAAGTGTGTGTCGTGGCAAAGGAAGGGAAGGAATAAAGGAAAAAAAACAGTAAAAGAAAAACCCAAGAAATGATGCTCCTGCTTCTGTGTGTTGTCTCAGGGCTGCTGTTTCAGAGGTGCAAGGTTTGTGGAGCACTCGGGTCTCTTTGGGAGCGGGGTTTGGTGGTGGTGCCGTCACCAGCCACGCTTCTGGTGGTTGCTCTGAGCTGGGCTCAAGGCACATCGGATGCATCAGTGCTTGACTTTGCCAAACAGTCCTGGAAGGATACCGGTGTTCCATTGATGTGTGCTGGGAGCACCAGGATCACAGGAAGGAAATGGCAGTTGGGAGCGATGATGCCAAGGCCTTGTGGGGTGATTCAGGATGTGCAGGTGGCCAGCTCAGTACCTCTGCACTGCTTCACCTTTCAGCTAAGTGGTGGTGGGACTCTACTTTCTAAAAAGCTGAGATTCCTCAGCCCATTTATACCTTGCTTGTATGGAGCATCTTCCATGATGTGTTCCATTCCAGGATAGTGCCTGAGGTTCCTGGGGGTTGTGGCCAGCATGGATGGGCAGAATATGATGTGTGGAAATGGGCATCCAGGTGTCACACTGCAGTAGCTTAGGCACGAACACAGGTCACTGTATCACAGCCAGCTACAGGACAGGGAGGTTTGTGTGCTGCTCCATGGCCTGGTTGCTGCAGTGTACAGTGCTGTGTCCTCATTCCTATGCACGCTTAAGGGGATGTGGCAGGGATGCAGGTGATTATCCCTGGAATAAGATCTGAAAGTCTTCCTTCAGTAGGTGTCAAGGTGAACTCAAAGTTCCTTTGTTTTCAGAGAGCCAGCTACTGCTTGTGACACTGCATCCTGATCCACTGCCTTTCTGCTTATTCCAAATGACTGATGCAGATTTAATCATCTGCCTTACTGGGACCTGCTGCAGGAGTGATGGTTGCCCACTGTGCTAGGAACATGTGGGCTGCTTCCCAAAGGAAATTAATGCTTTTAGAGAGACTTTTTGTGTCACATCAGCTGAATCTACTTAATCTTTTTCTCTCTGAATTGCTCTGCAAAAACTGTCTGCTTAGCAGATTGAGCAGGCATCTCCTTTTACAGCTGAAATGCTTAATTATTTCCCTGGGCTATGGATGGTATCAGTGATTAAAGTACAGAATCAGGCTTTGGGAGGGAGCCTTGAGTGTGACAGATTTCTTACTCAGTTTCTCTCCAAGGCCATCAGCAGGTGTGACTTTGGTCCTGTCTCTTCTTGCTGCCCAACTTCTATACACATACATCATCTTGGCATTGCATGCTCGTCCTAGCAAATATACTGTATTAAGCTTTTTAACCTATAAATGGAAGGTAATTGCTAATAGCTACACTTGGAATGAAGGGGTTATTTCTCATTGTGTTCGCACCGCTCGTTATTTCTGTGGCGATACTTGCAGTTTAAATGAGCCCCAAGCCATGATCTTGGTGCTTGGCTCTTCACAGCTAAGGGAAAAAGGAAGTGTCTGTGTCTGAATCATTATTTAAAGCTAATAATAGAAAAGTGTTGATCTATTCGGTTTTTTTTCCTAGTTACCAGTTAATTGCTGCAAAACAGAAAGATGTTGAGAATCTCGTCTCCTGTAATGAGTAATCCCAGGAGTTTCTTGGTTCCCGCTACATTTACATTTCTTCAGGGTGGATTTGTCTCTCTCTCTTCAAAGATACAGCATGGATGTTTTCTTCTCTTGTCTTCACAAAGTGTTTGTTTTTTCTCTTTTAATTTAAATCTAATGGATGTTTAATATGTGTAGACACGGGTGGCTGGGACCATAGCACAGATGCCGTGCAAGCTTCCTTCCAGCTGCTTCCCTTGCACCTCTTGATCTGGCCCTGTCTCTTCCTGCCCTTCTGACCGGTGATGTACCCCTGTGAAGCCAGCTTGCCCTGACTGCTCCCTCCTCAGCTGCAGTTGTCCTGCGACTCATGGCCATGGCTTGTCCCAGCCAAGGGCCCAGGAGCATCTTTTCAAGGTCACTGACTGTCTGTTGGTCATCCAGGTCAGAGGAGGGATGTGTTGCTGTCGTTTTTGCCAGCAAGGTCTTGGTTGTGCTATTGACAGAGAAGGTGCAAAATAGCAGCAAATCCTGCAGAGCAGCTGCTCTGGGTGGTGTGAGACTGTTTCCTCCCTTTATTGCGCTCCTTATTGCAATTTAACAGCAATAAAAGAGAAGCCCTCCCCTCCCTTGCAGACTGGCTAGAGAGGGGAGACTTTGAATGCATTGACTTCTCTCTCCCCATCCAAAGATAGATAAAGGTATTAGCATGATAAGTATTTTATATATATATATATAAGTATTAGCATGATATGCTAATACTGCCGTTCATCATGCTAAGGTCCAAAGCTCCCATTGTGCAAGGTTCAGCGAGCTGCCTGCATCCCAATGGCGTCATCAGCCCCCCTAAGAGCTGCAGCCAGGGGAATACATGGATGGTATAAGGCCACTGAGGGCTCTGTGTTCTGTACTTCCCCTCTGTCACCCTGTCAAGCCCAGCCTTGTTGACATTTAAGACATTTTGGTATTTGTAGGCCGATACCCAGCCACTGCACTGATTTTGGCTTTCCCCTCATTTCTTATTGCCATGCTTCAAAGCTCTTGCTAGGAGGAGCAGTAAAGTTCACGTGGAGAAGGTTCATGTTGCAGTAGATGGCTTCTGGATTCAGAAGAGCTTGTTCCTTGCTGCTCTTTTCTTTTGAAGCCCTCCTTCCCCACCCTTCCACCACTGTGAATGCATTGTTAAGGCGTCAAAGGGGATCCAAGCTGCACTGAGCTTTGTGGTTAAGACCACTGGGTTGCCAGAACTGGGACGTAGCCTCTGGCTTTGGGAATGTGCATTTTTTGTGGGTTTCTTGCTCTGTTCTGATTGAAAGTGTGGCGGGGGGGGAGTGGGGAGAAGAACAAAGGGTTCAGCCAGCCATGCTTCCTTCCCCCCTGGTTTCCTAAAGGAGCTGGAATTTGGTATTTGACAAATAATGGCAGAATGATTGGAAAGGGCAGGCGGTATGCATCCATGCTGGCCTGAAGTCAGAAGAGGACTGAAAATCCTGGAGTGTAGATGATGATGATGCTAGTACTGATTTTATAAGGGGGGGGGGGGGGAATGCTTTTGAAGTGCCCTATTTGTGTCTGAATAAACCTGGCTTTGTCATTTCATGCTCAGCCTGCAAAGTTGTGTCCTGTTCCGCTCTTGGCTTGCTTTTCCCTCGGGTTGACCACTTGGCCAAAGTCAGCACGGAGTCTCTAACCAGGCAGAACCAATGTGCAGATGCAAAAATAACCTGGGGTTTTGACCAAGATGTTTCCAGCTGGGTAGAACTGAGACCAGCTTTCGTGCTCGCTCAGCATCAGAGCCAAAGCCTTTACACAGCCATTGAGCAGACTCAGTTCCTTTCTGTTTGATGCCAGAGTCTCTGCTCCGGTGGGATGTGTGTGACCTGGCCCTTGCAGCCCCTGTGTCCTCCAGGGAAAGGCTGTCAGACCTCAGAGCTCTTTGCTTTTTGAGCAGTGACATGGCTTTGCCAGGATGTCCTTACCACACGGCTATACCTTTACAGCATCTCAGTCAGTTTTGCTTTAACACATTAATTCACTTGTGGTTTAGGGAGACAAAATCATAGGCCCATTACCCACAGGCAAAACTTGCCCAGGGGTAAAGTGTGAGATGAAGTGTTTTGGCAGCGTGTTTTGCATCCCTCAAGGTGGCACCGGGAGGATGGAGGGCAGGGGATGAATGGCAGCATTGAAGGGGTGGCGAAGAAAAGCGAGTTTGTTCCTTCTTATGTAAGCTGGACCTTCGTGGCAGCCGAAGGGGAGAGCCGGTGACTTGGCAGGGTGCTGCGTGGCTGTGGTGCAGAGCGGTGCCAGGGAGGGCGCGGGGAGTGGCGACTTACAAGCAAGTCACGTTGCTTCAATTTAAAGGCTTGCCCACCTTGGTCTTGCTTGTCAAGGGCAGGAGAGGGGGAAAATAACAGCAGAATTAGTCTTGCCATCGATAGGTGGCTGTTTGGGGAAGAGATGGGGAGGGTGGGTGGCACTGGGTCTGGAGCAGGCATAACGCAGCTCTTCTGCTCTCTCCTTGATCAAATCAGATCAGGGATTTAACTTGAACTGCGGAGGTTGAGTCTTGCCCTTGCTGTGGGATGGAAGCGATGTGGGAGAGCTCCATGCCGGGGCCGGCAGCGATGCTCGGCAGGGCTGGCTGAGCTCACTGCAGTGGCTGTGTCTGTGCCAGGTGCTGTGGGAGCCGGGGCTGTGCAGCCGCTCCGCAGCGGCCCATCTGAATCCCATTTTCTGTTCCTGGGCTCTGGCAAGCCCCGCTTCCCCCCCCAGCCTGGCTCCTGCGGCAGCGGGGGTCTGTCTCTTACCAGCAGCAATTCCCATGCTGGGTGACCTGTGAAGGGATTGAGCAAAGCACAGCCGAAACCTGCAGCCAAGCTGCTGCACTCAGCAGGAGCCTTGCGCACCCTGTGTTTGCCCAGCCTTTGGGTTGCAGAAGGTTGGGGTATGGGGGGTGCAAATGCACTTAAACAGTGAGTGACCCCCCCACTCTGTTCCTCTGGCCTGCCAGCTCGCTGCTGGAGCTGGGAATCAGGCCCTGCTGCCTTTTCCCTGCAAGACATGAAGCTCCTTTCCTTTCATCTCTTCTCAGTGATGTCCAGCATCACCGGTGTCCCCTCAAGCATCCCGACATGCCATGTTGCCTTCCCCTGGGGCTGATGTCCCTGCAGCCCTGCTTTGTCTTTGCTTTTTGTGGTTTTGCCTTGTTCAGGGGCAGCTTGAGCTAAATTATTTATAAGAATAGGAAGTGCAGAAATTGTAGGAGCTGGTTCCTGTTGGGAGGGAGGTGCAAGATCAGCAGCCTGGGTCTTGACAAGAGGGGAGGAAGTTCCCACACCAAAGCCCTCTGGCTGTGGGTTTGGGCATCCTGAGCCAAACCTCTTTGAATTTGGGCCTTTGTTGCTCTTTAATGCCCAGAAAACGTGGCTGCCTCACCTGAAGCAGGTGTTTCCTTGCTTCGGGAGGCTTTGGGTCACAGC